CCCCCCCCCCCACAAGCTGGGCAAGCAGCAGCATAGCATAGCCCCTGCTCCGAGTGGCCCGCACCCCCTGCCCTGACTGGGCAGCTTGTCCCAGCCCCAATCCCTCTTTCCCCCTCCCCTAACCCTAACAGATTTACCAGATGTGTCAGCTGCCTGTTTAGTTTATGGCCAAATCTCCAAAGCAGCAAAATCTATTTCCGAATCAATTTGGATGCTTCAAATCAATTTGGAGCTTTTAATTGGTCTCCTGATTTGATTTGGAGATTTGCTCCCCGGATCAAGCTGAATCTCCTCTGAATCGAATTGGCTACCAAAGCTTTGCACAGCCCTACTAACCACCAGTGCACATTTTTTAAAAATTTTTTTTGCCAAAATTAAGAGCTCTGCTACAGCTGACACTGGTCAGAGGAAGTGACCAGAAGCTGCTTTCCCTCCCAGGCCTGGTGTTCCCAGCTAGACCAGGGCCTTCCTCTGCTGTGTAAGTGCTCCTTGGGTGCCTGGCTGTAAGCAAGTACTGCTGCCAGCAGCCAGGCTGCTTTAAAGGCAAGCAGTGAAAATGCAGCTACACTATATGCATCCTGTTGCAGTCTGAACTTCAAAGCAGAAGTAGGAAAGAAGCCTATCCACACACTACCTGTGCTTGGGAAGCCCTAAGTTGCTCTCCAGTGCCCACCTTTTCACAAAGTAGGTGCTGTGGAGCAAAGGGGACTTAGCAGCAGTGAGCTCTGTGTTCACCACATGTACCATGACTACCGGCAGGAGGCAGCCAATCCTCCAGACACCTAGAGAAAAAGGCTTTGAACATGAAGACCACACCAAATAGCAGAAGCTATTTAACTCCCATCCAGTCAGTTGTGCAGACAGAAGCCCTTTCTCTGTTACATATACTAGGTGGAAGTTTTATCTGGTGCATGGGGGACCTAACTCTCACTTCAACACACTTATAACAGCAGTATTTTATCCCAGCAGTCACAACATTTAAAACCAACCCATGCTCTCTAATGTGTGTGGGCCTCTATGACAACTGTTACAGCATGGGGACGGCAGATAGGAAGCTGAAGGGTGCAGCCTTTGTCCTGCTGGTTTCTGGGCCCTGGGTAAGCTGTATGATATAAAGCCTCCCCATAGGAAATAAATCAGACCTGCTTGTGAGGACAACAGGAACTGTCTGGGGTGAAATCTTGGCTCAAAACTCATCCCAGCACCTCTCCACAGGGAGGGAGAGTGAGCCAGCTCCAGTGCAGAGCCTTGGTCACTCCTGAGAGAAGCTGTAGGTAGAAACTATTTTAGGTTCTCAGGAGACAGCTCTTGGCCTGGAGAAATGGCTCCTAAAGAGTTCATCTCCATTCAGACACAAGAGCTAGATACACACCAGTTCCTTCAGCCACAGCACTACGCATCAATGCTTCTGGGGGAAGGGACAGCAGTGCTAAGGAGAGCAAATGAACATAGGGACAAGTAGCATGAGGTAGTATATGGCTGAGGGATGACAGAACCTGGCAATCCTTTTGACTAGTACTTCTGAGCCTGTCCCATTCCCCCTTCTCTACATGTCAATCTTCAGACAGGCTGCATTAACAGAAGGGCAAATGGGCCCCTCTTCAGATGCAAAGCTGATTCTTTCCTAACCAGCTTCCAGAGAACCAGCTGCTGATCTCAGAGGGCAGCACAGACAATGGCTTGGGCATTTACAACTTCCAGGCAGAAAGCAGTAGTAGTAGAAACACCTACAGGCTTGCTTTCCTTTGCAAGTGATCCAGGGGGTCTCCCTCTCCCCCCAGCTTTTATTCTTGTGGTCTCCAGTACCTACAACCAGTCAGAATCATCTCCACTGATGGACTTCTGACCCCAGCTGGGTGGCAGGAGGGATTGGAAGTCTAATGGTCTGGAGCAGGCCACTGCCTGCACACACTAGCCCAGAGATAGCAGGGATGCTGCATGCATGAGGTAAGACTAGCAGAGACAAAGCAGGTTGGTGGGTTCTGCATACACCCAGGTATAGGCTGTAGGTAAGTACAGCTGGATGGGACCATCTGAAGAGATCATTTAGTCCATCCATTGATCAAACCTGTAACCTTGGTGTTATTAGCACCAGACTAACAAACAGCAACATCTGGGGCCTGTGGGGAAAATGCCACAAGGGGGCACTGGGCCTTCCTTCACGGAGAGTGCCACAGTTTCACAATGTTGGAGTCCATTGTTTGCCAATTGGCGATGTCCCGCTGCCCACCCCAGAGAGAATGCACTCTCCCCATCCATGGGCAGTGGGTCACTAATGCTACTCAATTGCTCTTCCAGTGGGCTTCAGCCAACTGTGGGGATCTCCTATTGCACTGACAGTTCTCACGGCCTCTTGCCTGTCCTCCAGGCTAGAGGAGCAGTGGAGGAGCTGGCTTGGGGTGGGGCATCTTTTCAGTACTGACTACAACCGAAGACTGAGATCAGCAGCCAGCACCTGGGCACTCCACCAAAGAGAATATTATGGGACTGTGTTGGATGTTTGTATTGATGTGGAGAGAGACAAAAACCCTGAGGAGTAAGGGTCTGAAGTGGCTAATGGTCACTCTAGAGTTACAAGTGACCACCACAGAGTGACTCTAAAAGAGCCTGTTAGCTACCACAGGGAGATGTTACAGCAAACTTGACACTAAACAGAGCTGGTTTCAGTTGAAGCTATAGGACAAGCTGAGAGAATGAGATAAGTAGCCCAGAGAGAGGAAGGGGGACAAATAACTTGTACAGGATGTCCACCTTATAGAGCATCTGCCCCAAATAACACAGGCTAACAGGCAGCTGCCTCTTGTGTGGGCAGATCTGCACCTACCCCAGGGTTTTTGCTAGCAGAGCTGTGTTGGCAGGAGATGTGATCTTTCCCACCACTCCAGCTAACAGAAATGTGCTGGCAAAGCTTTGTAGGGCTGACCAAGCTTCAGTCGGGGACTTTCCCAGCCCTCCACTGTTTCTAACTAAACAGCTGCAGGCTTGCTACAGGGTGACCAGATAAATGTGGGGGAAATGTTCAGCTGGACACATGGTCCTGGTGTTACTGAGGAGGAAGTCTACGCTATTCACAGCAGTCGGGTCACAGTACAAGTAAGGCCAGGGGACCTTGAGCCTTGCAGGCAATCAGTTCACCTTCTAACAAACTGGAGAACCCAAGGTTTCATATTCAAGACTAAATGTAGTCAGGGAAGGGCAGAGCCAACAGTTTTCACCTGGGGGAAGCCAGGAGGGGCCTTGGCAGGGGAGTGGGGTGGGATGCACTCAGGCTATGTCTATTCTGCCAACAGACAGGCCATGGCCATAAGTGAATATGTATCCACGCTGGCTTTGACTGCTTGTGTAGTTAGTAAATCTCTGCATCACTAGTTCTAGGTGGCTGGGAAATACCCAGGATTCTGGGCAGGCTTGTCCAGCCCATGCTGAAGGCTGTAGTGCTCCAACTACACCACTAGGAAACCTAGAAGCTGGATGTACCCAGTTACATGTACTGAAACCACACCTTCCAACTACCACGCAGGCTAAGACCGAGTATGAGATCAGTAAGGACTGGCTAACAAGCCCACACTGATCCTTACTTCCAACCAATCCCAGAGGCCCTGACACCACTTCGCTGGTGACTCAGTAAACCCAGCTCTTTCACAATGAACAATTACCCCTCATTATAGAGCAGCACCCTGGATACCCAGAGCACCTGCTGGGCTAATCCAGGATCTACAGGAAGTCAGGAAAAATAAAACATCAAGGGCCTCCAGAGCCCAAACTGGGCAGGTTCTCTAGAGCTCCTGAGAAAGACTTCCTGAGGAAGTTTGTCACATGCTGATGCTTCCCCTGTGCTCTGCACAAGGTGGGCAGCAGCTGGCACTGCTTTCCTCTCTCAAATCAATACTGATCAAGTCCAGGCTGGGTTCTTCTGTGAAACAGAAGTGGAGGCCAGCTTCTTCTCCCTTCTACCCCAAAATAAAACTATTCAGTGAGTCTCTGCAGCAACACATGGCACAAGGACCCAGGGAGACTAGGTTACACTGGTTAGCAAGTCCCTTCCATCAGCCAGAACCCACCTGTCACTGGGCGCTCACATGCCCACACCTCCACCTGCTGCAGATGTCATCAGTCTTCCCTCAGCACCTTCATGTGGATGAGCAAATCAGCCAGCAGCACAGAACTATACAACCCTTTAAGCAAAACACCAGAGCGAAACCAACTTCTTTGGATGTGGAGATCTCCTACAACACTTGAAGGAAGATCTTGCTGAACAGCCACGCAAGGTGGTGGCCCTGGGTGGGCTGAAGACCACAGGATACCAAAGTTGTGTATCAACTGAGTACAGATAGAGCTGAAGAGTTGAGTCCTGCAAGGGAATCTTCCAGTTCCCCGGAGATAACAGATGCCAACCTGAACCTCTTCTCAGGAAAGATCTGCACTACAGCAGCTGGCTTTCTGACACCAAGGAAGGGTTCGCATCACACACCTTGTTTCCACTCAGTGGAGCAGGTCCTCTGGGGGATGAGGCTTTTCCTCTTGTATCCCTTGCCCCCTGCCCTAAGGCTGGAAGTATAGAACAGGGAGGCTGAGCCCCAGTTGGGGCCAGCTCTGCATTCACTGCTCCTGGAGGGAAGGAGGTTTCAGAGGCCTGTGAGATCTACAATGGCTTTAATAAAGATGGCGTCGTCACGTACGTAGGAATTCTTGGCTTCCATCTTGGAGACAGGACAGAATAGCGGGCAGCCGCTGGCAATGTTCATTTCGCTGACAGGTCGCTGAAAGGATGAGGATGTAACATCAGGTCGGAAAGCATCGATAATGTGCTCCCTGTTGTTCTGATCCAACAGCATTAGAGTCACCTAAGGAGGCAAAGAGAACATATAAGGGCAGCTGATAGCGCACAGTAGATGACCTCCTCTCCCTATTCTATTTAATTCTGTGAAAGCTGCAGGGGCAGGTATATTCCAAAGCCTGCAAGCTGCTGCAAGCCTGGAGCATGGGTTATAACCAGGCTCCCTCCAGAGCTACAGCAAAGCCTCGAGATTTTGCTACTCTATGCCCCAGCCTCAGGTCAACTGGAAAATAGGCTCTGTTAAATGGCATGTGAAAACAAACATAAATCACTAACTGGCACTAATACTCGTTTCAATCCATTTAACTTGCCCCTGTAGCACTAACATCCTACTGACACACACAGGGCATTCTGCACCTTCCAGCCTGGTTGTTTCATCTCACTGGACAGCTGTCACTGCGTTAGTTCGCAGTTTATTGTATTTTACACAGTAAATGAAAAGCCATGAATCTCCAATCCTGAAGCACTGTTCTAAGGCATATTCACATTAGGCACTTTCCAAATACATCGCCATTCTACTTCTGCCTCCCTCTCTGTTCTTGCCTCCCCTCTCCTTCCTTGTGTACAACAGATTGTTCTTTCGCTATAAAAGCCATCTGCCAAACAGGTATCATACTGCTTTATCTCCCTGTTTCCAGGACATGTCAGTTTTCTGGTGCCTGGAAGAGTAGGTCTCTGAGGCCCAAATAACCAAATCCCTAGACCATGAAGCCTGTAGGGCTCTGGCTTGCATTCCTACACCTACCTTCTGGTTGAAGGGCCACCGTAGGAGTGCGTCATTGGGTCCTTTCATCACCACAAAGAACAGAGACAGGTGAGTCCCACGGCCAGTGCCATCGCCATTAAGGTAAACACGCAAACACATCTTATAGCCATACTTGCTTGTGTAGAAAGCTACCAAAGCAATGTAAAACAGAGAGTAAATACCTGGTCAGAATGAAGGCAGGGGTGGGGGGCAGCAGAGAAGCTCAGAGTAGTTCCCAGATTCCTTTTTAGCTTCTGGAGATTCTGCGGAGTCAGCTGGCTTCAATTTTTACAATATAAGCAGAGAGCAGCTCACTAAGCTGCCATCAAAGCAAAGCTCAGTCCTAGACAGGCTGAGCTGTATAACCAAAAACTCTAAGCTTTTGTGGCTACAGTTGCTTTATATACTCTTGAAAATATACTGGGCACTTGGCGCAGTGTTACAGGACGGGAGCAGGGAGACTTTGTGGATTCTCTCAACCCACTCTTGGTTCCTGTTGGCCCTGAAGAAAAAATACAGCTCTGGGAGATGGAGACAGAGCCTACCTTTATTTGGGCACCAGTGGCATTCTTTACTAAGTACCTGTTACAGAGCTGACCCAGCCCACATACACAGTCCAATGGGAGGCAATGGGGTGGCAGAGGTGTCTCTGAGCTTAGTCTGTCTTTGTTTGCTAGCCAAGGGTATGAGCTGGAAAAACCTCAGATCCCAGGGCTGGCAGGCAAGACCCCTTCTCCCTCTCTCCCCACTTTAACTTGTATGCCTACTGTGTGGATCTGGAGTCAGAGACACAGTGACTAGGCCCCATGCTGCCCCAAGCTATTTTTGAGTGGTGCAGGGAGGGGGAGAGGGCAGCATTACACTCAGCTCCAGCATTCCTGTCTTATTTTTAAAGCAATGCATCCTGTGTCTGTTTGGTGCATGTATGTGGGGCTGTGCTGCTGGTTCACAGCCATACAAGCATGCAGGGAAAGACTGATGTTCTGTGGGTACACAGAAGGTGCTAACATGAGGACTGGTGGGACTCAGTAGTTTGGGTAGCACACAGAAGATGGATGCTGTTTTATAAATGGGCAGCTGAGGGGAGCAGAGACAGACAGGCAGCATGGTTCCATGGATCCAGCACTGAGCTGGGCTCCAGGAGATCTGGGCTCTGTCCTCAGCTCTGCCACTGACCCTGCATGAGTCACTTCACCTGTTTCCCTTCCCAGCCTATCTAGTGAGACTGAAAGCTCTTCTGAGGATTCCTGTTTCCTATGAAGATTTGTACACAGCACTCTGCACACTCAGCTGGGGTTTCTACACGTTACTGTAAGATTAATAATTCAAAAACAATCCCTGGCAGAAGGTGGCGACCAAGTAACCAAAGAGCAAGGTTTTAGGTGAGAGCAAACCAGTCAGACAAAGCAACAGAGAGAGTGTTCTGAAAGTCTGGATTCACTGCCCACTTAATTAAATGGGTAAAAACCCAGCAGCCTTCAGATTACTTTTAAGCAACACTAATCTGTTTTGCAGTCTCGTTTCTGCCTGGCAGCTCCCAGCGCTGCATTAAGTTCAAGCGACATCAAGTAGTACAGGAAAAAACACAACCTTGAATGCAGAATGCCTGGCAGATAAGAATCCTTTTTTCCCCATAAACACCCTCTTCTCAAGCATGTTCCAGTGAAAAGACCTTTGGCTCCTTCATTATCGTGTAAACCAAGTGCAAAATATGTCATGTTAAGAGGGCCTTGGGAGTTGAACATGAAAAGCCACTCCCAGTAACGATCCCATAAGGTTTAAACAAAACACTCTTACCCCACAGCTATGGAGACTACCACTGATCCCAGCTCATTGACAAAGAAAAGGACTTAATATTTTGTGCAGTATTTTAGCCCGAAGTGATACACTACCAAAATGCAGCCATCTCTGGGGTGGAGAGAGGTAGTCAGCCAGCATACAGTATATTACAGAAAAGGGGAAAGGTGAAGCTATTCAGGTTCAGGGGACTGAACCAAAGCCCTAGAGTGCTGTATAAGTTAAACATGCAGAAAACACAGGAGGAACTGTATTAATGTCTCATCTCAGAGAAACAAATAATGACAATGTATGGGCTTCAGCAAGAGGAAAAGCTGAGCTGATCCTACTAGGTGAAACTGTGCTCCTGGGGAAGCTGAGAGATTAAAAGCTGGTCATTAAATTAGAATGGGAAACATTAGTTGGGCACAGATGGTTACACGAATATTTTAGTTCTTTGGGAAAAAACATTTTCCTTTCCAATTTTTCCAAGGAAGAAAAGGTTTGGAAAAAAACCCCAAACCAATAAAACCCAAACTGGAAAAAACCCACCTGCACCATCCGTAAATGCACGTGAAAGTAACTGTGAACACAGTTGTGAAGACTGTTAGCTGCTCATTAAACTACTTAGTCTAACTCATGTGCAGGCCCAAGAACTGGATGTTTTACAGAGGGAGTGGTCTATTGGTTTAAAGCTAACACCATTCCTGTTGGGCCAGACACTGATTTCAGCAATGTAAACTTAGTCTAGCACACAGCAGTGACATCCTGCTGAGAGAGAGCAGGCGTCTGGGGTGCTTGAATGCTGCTGCCTTCACAGGCTGACACATAAGATAAGGACACTCTGAGCAATGACCTAGAGATCCATCTTAGAACACATGGAGTGACCCTTGGCTGGGGTGAGTGCTCCGAGCTGATCTGAAGAGCACAGCTTCTCTCACCACTGAGCTTGCTGGAGATACCAGAGGGCTTGAGTAGCACAGTTCCCTTATTTGGATGTACTGCATATTGCCATATATATCAGGACAGGATGAATATCTGATATATTCTTTGATTTATCATTTGCTACAGGTCCTAATTTGGATTATACTGTGTGCATGTATTTTAACCACAAATAAGGGATTATTCTGAGTGATTTTTGGGGCTGGGAGGGACCTTCCATTTCTCATTAAGAGAGTCATATGTGTAGGAAAAAAAAAAAACACATCTTTAAGCAAGGCAGTTTCAGTTAGCCTACTGGAAAAAAGAAATCAAATCAGTCTCCACCGCATTTGTGGGAAGAAGGGGAAAAAACCAAGAGAAACCGCTGTCTGAAGAATTACAGTGCGTGTCATGTGCCATTTCCAGTGCAAGCATGATGGGGCACAGCTGGGGCATGGAAGCCTCCCATTCTTTTTCTAATTTCTAGGTAACCACCTGGGGAGAAGATGGCAGGCACGCGGCCTGTTATTGCTTCCTGACGCTTCCTGGCAAAGTCCGTAATCTTCCAGATGAAAACACCATCATAAGTTGACGCTTCCATGTCACGAATCTTCTGCTCCATATCAGCCAAGGCCAGATCCTTCAGTCCAATGCTCCTTTCCAGTTGCCGGACCTGGCCAGTGGAATACACAATAGAGCACGATTAGACTTATGTTGCTAAGGAGAACCAAAAGAAACTGGGAACTTCATTCTGCCATGATCTCCAAATAGGATAGAGATCAGAAGGGGCAGAATGTTAACACCATAAGGCAACTCGCAAACAATCTGAGCTCTTCACGCAGCTCTAGAGGAACAATGTCACGTGTCACTGACACAGGAGTTCACGCTCCTGCTGTGGATGGCAGACATCAGCTAATGAATGGTTTCTGCCCCTTTAGAAACATACGAGAGATTGGAGGGGTAGGGAGGGGAAATCAATGTTTTTAGATAAAACTGAATTGAGACACAGAGAAGCTAGGAGAGCTGAGCAGAACTTGAAGCAGCACGTTGCTACAGTGAAGTACTATAAGATTTGCTTGGCAGATCACGTACTGGAGAACGCAAATGTGCTGCTCATGTTGGGAGTCCTCTACAGGTGCACCGATACACCAGTCCAATGTCAGATCAGCACCAATATAAAGAAAATTGATCATATCGGGAATTGGTCTGATGATGCCAATAATCTGGCTGATAAATGCCCATGCATGCGCGCAGCTTCAGCACAGCATGTAGGCAGTGAGGAGCACAGCCCGACAGCTTGGAGAGCCATGTGCAGCTGGTAAATCTGGTGTGGCGGAAGGGGAGGGGGGAGTGAAAGGGCATGAGGGGGTCAGATCAAGGTCCCCAGTGAGGAAGGAGTGGTTCCGGGGCAGGCACTGCCCAGCCATGGTGGGCGTGGGACCGAGCTGCGGCTCGTCCAGGGGGTCGTGTGGACAGGGGGAGCAGCTTCTGCCAATGCGCACTGCTTGTCCAGGAGCCACTGCTCCAGTGCTCGCCCGGAAGGGCACGGGGGGAGGCATTCCCCTGGATCTGCTCCAGGCAGAGCTGGCTGGGGCTGCGTGGGGCTCTTCCCAGCCTGCCCTGCGCAGATCTGGAGGCACACAGGGGGATAGACTAGATGACAAGTCTTCTCCCTCTCAAATTTCTGTAGGTCTTTATGAAGGCACCTGCACATTACAGCAACGGTGTCCAACAGCTACAGGCTAGTTTATACTAAAGAAGTGATAGCACTATAACTATATTCGTAAGGGCAGCAACAGTTTACCTGAACAAATGTAGAGCCAGTATAGAGCCCTGGTGTGGGCAGAGTTAATACTTGCATAAAGGCGTCTTGTAGCTTCCTTTACAAACTGGAATGAGGTACACCAGACTGACTGTGTCCACACTAGCGTGATGGGGGCTTTTCTAATTTAACTGTTGCAGTATATAAAGCACAAAATCTTTCTTAGTGTAGACACGCCCTTGGAGAACAAATGCACAACAGGAGAAACCCAAGTTCTCCTATTCTAAGGGTTGATGAGCAAACTAGGTTCAGGGAACAATACAAAAGCAAGTAGTGGCTTTTCAGTACTAAGCCTGTTAATATGCTGTTATTTCTGTACGTCTCAAAGAAGTCATGACCAGAGAGCTTTTCCTCAGTCCAGCTCAGACATGTCATAGCCTTGTTTACTAAACTCAGATCAGCTGCATGCAAACACACCTCTTAGCTAAAATCCCCAGCTCCCCAATTCTGTGCAGGCCAGGCAGGCTATTTTTAATTCCAAGTTTGGTCTCTCAGTGGCCGTGGCAACACTGAAAGCAAGCACTTCAATTAGTGATGAATGATTTGAAAAGGGGTCACAGAGAGTAAAGCACCAGCAGTGCAAAGTCTGAGGTTCCTGACCTTGTTACTGAGCGTTTCAATCTTCTCCTGGTCCAGCCGGTGCTGGCGACTGTAGGCTTCAGCCGTCAGAGAGACCCTCTCCACTTCCCGGTTCAGCACACACACAATGTTCTCAAAGGTCACTGTTTTCCTCTCAAGGGATTCACACCTTGCTAGCAATTCCAGGGATTTGGAGAGCTCTGACTCCGAGCACAGGGAGTTGCCTGTCAGTAGCATGGAGTTGCCCTGAGATGGCAAAAGGGCAGGAAGGTGCTTCAAGTCTGCAGAGCCAGCCTTGAGGCTGAGCACAAAACTCAGCAGCATGTATAGATGCTCTGCCAGACATTTGCCTTCATGATCCAGCAGCTTCTCATTTTCCACCTGCATGAAAAAGGGTACGTTCATTCATTCCCATTCATAATTTAGATCCCCACTATGGCATCATCATCCACAGGGCAAACTGGTCCTAAGGAGGCTACTACTTCAACTGATGTTAACAGAGGGCAAAAGTAAAAGCGCATAGTTACAAACATTCCAACAGCAGCAAGATACTTTAAGGGAAAACCATAATCACCTATACAGCAGCAAATGCTTAGCACTGGGGAATCGACTGTACATCCTGATGCAACACCTTCTTCTAGCCAAGCATTTCACAAACCCTATTAAATGAAAGGTTTCAACTCTGAGGAGGGCACCAGTTTCAGTTTCCCCATCTCTCAACGGGGACATTAAGTCATGTTGAGAAAGAAGAGATTTTACCAACTCAGTCACCAGAGGTACTGGGAAAATAATACACATCTTCTGAATCCTTATTTGCTTTAAGCATATACTCAGTCACCGAAAAAAGCCCTGATTGTTATTACAGAGGTCATTTCCAAATAAGTAGGTCATGCCTCCAACTACTCTGAAATGACAAGGAAGTCACTGACAGCTAACCTTCACCATGTTCTGAATAGATATTTATGACTCCTCTCCCAATTCTCAAGGGTTGAAGAGTTTATAGGATGGAAAACTGTTCCTGGCTTTCATTCATTACCAACCTCCTTTGGCATTTCCTTATAGCTGTTTGTGCTAGCTTGATACTACAAGCTGAATTCACCACTCAAATACATTTCTTTAAGCAGGTACTCAGCATTTCTTTGGGCCCTGGCTCTAACTCCAAAAGGATCTAATTAAATCAATCCTAGTCCTGGGATCTCAATTACTGCAAGGTGTTTGACACTTGCATCTTCATGAAAGCTGCTGAGCTGCCTGGTTCTGGATCTAGCAAATCCAGAAGCTGAATTACTTGATTTTTTTGTAAACAGACACCTCAGCCACATTCCTCTCTGCTAACTGGACTGGCAATAATTTGTGACTGACCCCTTCAGTGAGAAGGGCTTATCCTGCAAGCTCCACCACCAGAAGTCAAAACCACAGTCAAGCAGAAACTCCTAGCAAGAGAGCATCCACATGAACACTGGATTCCATTTCTAGGAGGGCACACAAAACCAGCTCTCCTCGATATCACTTTGCTCTCTTCAAGGTCTTTGCTCTCAGCACAGCATGCTGGACATTTTAATCCCATTATCATCAGGCCATTGTGGGGAATTTCCTGTTTACTTCCTCATAAATTTACCGAACCATTTCTCATCCTCATGAGTTCCTGATCTAACAGCAGGAACAACTCTTAGCTGGTAAACCTTGCGTAAGAAGCCTGGATGTCTTTCATTCCTCGGAGATCATCACTATTCCCAGTGGTGCCCGCTGACTATTCAGCTTTGTGCAAGGAGTCATTCATCAGATGGAGGGTTTTTTCTCCCCTGGTACAATTATGTCATAGTTTCATAGTTTCTAGGGTCGGAAGGGACCTGAGCAGATCATCTAGTCCGACCCCCTGCCACGGCAGGAAGAGCACTGGGGTCAAATGACCCCAGTAAGGTGGTCATCCAACCTCCTCTTAAAAACCCCCAGGGTGGGAGCCTGCACCACCTCACTTGGAAGCTGGTTCCAGACCCTAGCCGCCCTGACCGTGAAGTAGCGCCTCCTGATGTCCAACTTAAACCTTCCCTCCGCCAGCTTGTGACCATTGTTCCTGGTCACTC